CTGGCCCCCTAAACTGTGAGAGGACAGATGCTGATTCACTTTTCTTTCTCTGTTACAGCACCAGCAGACAATGAAGACCAATGAATAAGAAACAATGAGCAAAACCCTGGAAGAAGGATGTGACTGGATCTGCCTGGGTTTTAGTCTAGATGTGAAAACACACAACAGGGAATGGTAATGATTTCTGATGAGGTCTGCCCTTGGGGGGGTGGTTGTAATTATTAGGTGTCTGTGACTCATTAACTCATAGGACCGTCCTGTGCCACCCTCACCGTCTCGGACAAGCTAAAGCCCATGGTTTCAATCCCTGTGTCAACCCATCTCATCGAGGGTTTTCCTCTCTACCTGATCCTCTTTCTGTCCTATCATATGAGGACGGAATGTATTAAAAGGAGGTCTGGCTGACGCACAGGGACCCTAGACAACAGAGCACAAGTTCCCCACAAGGTCCCCAAGGCTATGAAGCTTTTTGCTTGCTAAATCTTTCTTCAGTGGAGCTCAACTACCGACCTCTCATAACCAATATTGCCTTTTAGTTTCCAATAGTTCCTTTGGAACTAAAAGCAGTCCAGCGCTTGGCCCTCGGGGCTACCAGGTCCCTTCAAGTTTCTCACACATGCCATAAAAGAAATTTTTGTGAACATCCCTGACAATCTAAAATGAAAAATGCTGGTCTGGGTCAAATAATCTCTCAAAGGAAGGTAAACAGTGCTGGCAGTGAGAGAAAGATGAATGAGAGACTCGAGGACTTGTGAGTCCCTCAGAGGTACCAGATGGTTAACATGTCCGACTGCTAAAAAAAGGGCGGAGGCTGAAGAAGACCCAGATGTGCCTCAGAAGAAAGGGCTGGAGATCTACTCCTGAAAAGTCAGACTTGGGGTGGAGACGATGACAGAGCTCAGTTGTACTTGAGGGGAAAGAGCGCAATAGAGCTCAGTTCTACTCTGCTGCACAGCTAGTCTCCAAGCATCTCACCATGACCTGGTCATGTCACTGCTGCTGGTGGGGGCTCTCCAGTCTCCTGTCACCCACAGCGACCCCATGGACCACAGAGTGATCCTATCTTGTGCCATCCTGTAAGAGGTTCAGGTACTTCCAAAAACACTTGGTGTTCAAAGAATGTCTCTGATTTACCTAATAAGGACTATCTTTTTTTTTTTTAGGTAAAAAGAAAAATCTTTTCATCAAATAGAAATGAACTCTGGTTAAATTACAAGTTCATTTTCATTACTACTTCATATGTAAGATTTCAGTGTGTGAGATGAACACAGTTTGAATTTTTAATTTAATACCCATCCCCATAAATGTACTTTAACGATTAATCATCTTCATGAAATTGTTTTACTTTTTTTCCTACAGATTATCCCGCCCCCCGCCCCCCCCCCAACCCGAGCTTGAGATAAAACAGAGAGCCAGGAGGCATTACATTTTAAAAATATGTAAATCCTATTTCTTCGCAATGCATTGTTAGTGTAGCTTCTGGGCCGTCCCTGTGAAGCACAACAAATGTTTACCTCGCTGGAGTTTCTGCCGTTTGGAGGGAGCTGAGTTCCACAGAATCCAAGACCGCCGCCCGAATCAAATATCTGATAAACAGAGTGGCAACGAGACCCATGAGATGACTCAGCAGTGTTCCCCGACAGAATTCTTCCTTCTCAATATTCAAGAACTGATGCTCGAGTGAGTATGATAAGATCTCCACATTACAGTGTGTACGGCCTACTACTCTAATGCTGTTAATGTCTTAACTCTAAAGAAAAGATTTCTTTCTCGTTCTTCCTATGTATTTACATATTCTTCCTGACGTTTGTTGCCTTTAACCAAGAAGATCACACATTTCTGAAGACACAGGACAGAGCTCCAAGATGAGCCGGCAAAGCCACTTGCCTGTTACTCTCTTTTTCACTATCAAACCAAACCCACTGCTTCCTAGTCTATTCTGACTCATAAGGACCCTGTATCAGCTTTCAAGGTGGAAGTTTTTAGTGGAAGAAACTACCCATCTTTCTCCCGTGGAGTTGCTGGATGGATCTGAACTTCTGGCTTTTCATTAGCAGCTTGATATATTACTCACTACATGTAATTTTAGGGAGCTCTGGTGGCCTAGTGGAAAGAAGCTGTGCTGCAATACCAAAGGCATGCGGTTCAAGGCCACCAGCTGCTCTGTGGGAGAAGGATGGGCAATCTCCTTCCATGCGATTAACTGCCTCTGAAAACCTGCTGGAGGGTCGACCAGCTATGGGTTGGTTCCCACTTGATGACACACAACAACAACATGTATAATTTTAGATTTTTTT